GGGGAAGAGAGAAAGAGAGAGAGGGAGAGAGAGAGAGAGAGAGAGAGAGAGAGTACTCTGCCTACTCTACCACATACTATTTCCTACTCTAGAGACCCAGTCCCTTGCCACCAACAAGAAGGAATAGAATTTTCCATCCTGCCTTAACTTATAGACTGTAATTGTTGATTGTTTCAGAAGTAAGCAAACTGTATGACTGTACCATGTTTTGCAGCTGATTCACTTATTGGAATGTACATTTTCATTTTCATTGTCCTGTGTACCTTGATTATTTTACCAAGTATACTAGGTATTGAAAATACAATACTATGGGGGAAAAGATAATTGTGAATTACAATATAAGGAAAACTTAACTAATTTGGAAAAGTGGAATTGATAAGTTCATGTTACTTTGAATTCTTATAAGTCATAGGTAGTTTGAAAGGACATGGAAACATCTACTTGTTCACAAAGAGACTTAGAAAAGTCTACCTCAGCTTGCATTAGTAAGCACAGAAGAATCACTTAGTCTTGTACAGGAAAAGTCTATAATTAGATAATGATAAGCTGTTTTTTAGTACGTGTAGAAAGTTTACTCTTTTGTAAATATGCTATCCCCTCTGTAATCTTCCTTAAAATGAACAACTAAACGTTTCTTTAAATTTACATGGTTACTATTTATTGAACATATTTAAAATTAAGAATGAAGTAAATAAATTAAATATCTCTCATTTAATCTCCCCCCGTTCTTGCATAGTTCTGAGTGTTTCTAAGCCTATCTGTTCTGTTTACAGCTACAGCTGTCTCCAGTGAGCAGAATCCTGTTATTATAATTGCCGTGGTAGCTGTGGCGGGGACCATCATCCTGGTTTTCATGGTCTTTGGCTTCATCATTGGAAGAAGGTAGAACATAATGCACGAAATATATGGATTTTCAAAACTGTTTCAGACTCATACTGATTTAATATATTAGCAATTTAAACATTAAATGCAAGCATTCATTATTTGATATAAAACTTTAAGGGTCAATATGTTTTATTCTCCTCAAATCAGAATATAGTATGAATTTGATCACTGCCTTGAGTTTAAGGAGAATGAGCACTATAATTTCCATTGGTTGAATTTTTATTGGTTATTTTCAGAATTACATTTTCATAATAAACATGTGTGATAACTGGGATAAGATTTACTCTTTTATTTTTTTTTTAAAGTCTGTGGACCTTTTTTTAAATATGGGGTTTTTTACAAGAAAAATTTGTAAGCATTGAAAATTGTTCCTATTGCATTGTCAGACACAAAGATTCCATGTTCTGAGCATATTTTAAATAATGTGAATTGTTATATTATTATTGTTTTCATAAATATGTACAAAATGTTTGTATTTGTTTTATAGCTCTAGCTAGTATGTTGCTAAGTAACATGGTAAATTATACTGAATGTTAAACGTATAATGTAAGATCATTGATTAAAATTGACACTAATTTGCCTTTTTTTCTAGGCACTGTGGTTATAGCAAAGCTGACCAAGAAGGGGATGAAGAACTTTACTTTCATTGTAAGTGTTTGGTTTTTCTTTATTATTATATACCCCAATTACTGCCACAATGTGGTTGTCAGTATTGGCATGAACAAATTCCAAATGCATCATTGCTTGAAATTATATAATGAATTCAAAATGTTGCTTTAAAGCATTTGAGTAAGAAATTTAGAATGAAAAATCATATGATGTGAATTCAAAAATAAGATATGTTCAGAAGTGTAATATAACCACAGAATATTCAGCTGTATTTGCATCAAAATTTTTCCTATTATAAACTTTGCCCAAGTTTTTCTTATTCTAGTAACAATCCATTACATGTTTCACGTTCCCTGTTTCTGGTTAGAAGGTATCATTTCAAGTTAAAAAGCTAGGTCTTTTTATCCCTTTCAATAAGTATGCTGCCATACCCTAAATTACTTATCACTGATAAGTATTTCATGGGATATAAATGTTATAACAATATTCGGTCCTCTGATGGTTACCCATGGATGTGAGTTACCTGATGTTTAAAAGTCCATGTTAGAAATCATATTCTGAAAAAAGTAAGATTCCGAAGAAAATACATGCCTATATGCATTAATCTTATTCTTGTTGCAAAGCACATGGCAAATGAGAATGTGAGCCATCAGAGTAGAGGTAGTTACTTCATACAAGCCAAATCAGACCTTAATAATGGAAGGATTTCTGTTTCAATAATGCCAAATTCACTCTTCCTATTTTTAATCTTTTAAAATACTAAAAGCCAATTTATTCATTCTTTTTCTTAGTAGCTATAAATTTTACAAAATTTTCTCATTCATAGATAAATTTCCTATAAATGCTATATGAATTATATCATTTATTATGTACCTGTTCAGATCTTTATGTCAATTCTAAGACGATATTATCATGTACCCATCTTAAAGATACAAAAGTATTTCAACATCAATCAAGAATGTGTAGCCATTTTAGAATACTTTCATAATTCTTAAAAAAATCGAATAAAAATATGGTACACAAATTGTACCATTTATGATGGTGTTAGCACTCAGAAGGGTGAGGCAGGATGATTGCTAATGTGTCTGGGCTACATTGTAAGACCCTATCTCTAATAAATAAATAAATACACACAGTGAATGCTCCTATTATCATTACTAAATTTTTTCAGTGTTTTTTGAACCAATACTTTGACTTTAAATTTTTGAGAGGTAATTTTACCTAGTACAGATCTAAATTGAATAAAAAATATTAGAGTTTTAACCACTAAAAGAAAAAGGAACACATGAAGTGCTCTAAATTTCTAAAATAAAAGGAGAGGTAGCTTTTATCATGAGGTTTAAAATTACAAGACTCTCACTTTGGTGGACCCCTTTCCAAACCTTTGGAGCTCTTAGCAATTTTGCATTTGTATTCTTTTCCTTAAAGGGGATCACCTAAATTGTATACAATTCAATTCTCACAAAACTTGAATCTAACCTTGATTATGACTGAATACATGTGATTTTGCTACCTCACCTCAGATTATTTGCTATGCTCCCACTATGGGAACTTCCTTTTATTAACTCAGCAGTCTTTATCTCTTGGTAGTTAGAGCACCAGAGTCAGTTCACAGGTAGAAGACATACAGAAAAAGTGGTGGTTACATTTTTTTTCTCTTTCATAACAACAAAGAATATTTTTAACACTTCCACAAACAGGAAGGAGAGGGTCTAAACTGAAATACCTAATTTTTTATTTTTAGTATAAAATGCATGCATAAAAAGGTAACATAAGATAGTATTTCCTAGAATCTCTGATACTACCCATATGTAAACAATTTAGTGGGACAGTTTTTAGTGTTACCATAATCATATTACTTTTCTTTCATGTATTGAGTACATCAGAGACATCCCCAAATTATCAAAAATGTTTTAGTTTATTTACTTTAACTTGTAAGTTAATGCACACTTTAAATTGAAACATGGCTTGTTTTGAAACTTATTAGATAGCCTTGTGGTTAATTGTCATCATTCAGCTTTAATATTTTGATTCCATTCACTTTTTCCACATTTTACATCTAAGTTTTAATCAGTAAAGTATATAGTTGGATGTCTTACTAAGATAAACAAGATAAGCTTGCTGTATATCAATAGTTTTCATCTCTGTGACAAAATATCTGTGGTGGTTTTAAAATACATAACATTCATGAGAAATGTAAATGAGGTTTTAAAACATAAAAAAATTTAAAAAAAGCTAACACTCAAATTGGGATAAGCAACAGACCAGAATATCCAGAAATTATGTCAACATTTTCTTTATTTTAAAACATTCACTCTTAAATGAATAATGAAATAAAGTGCACTTTACATCATGTTTCGTATAAAAAGATCTAGTCATTTGATGAGAATCAAGCATTTTATTTTACCTCATGGCTCCATCTAAAATACCTAAAGTACAGCACTGTGATCACCAGCTATTTACAACTTGGTGTCCTTTTTACTCCCTTAGTACATAGACAATTTTCCTATGTGCTAAGACACCATATCGAATTTTTACAAAAGGTTGAAAACAACCTTTTAACTAGCTTTTAGCGCACCGGATTTAATAGACTGTCCGGTCATTTGTAACAGGCGCTCTCAACTCTCTGTGTCCCCATGTGTTGTGTGTGAAGATACAAACACAATGGAGGGATTTAGTGAAGTAATCTCATTTACATTTTGTTTCCTCCTACCATTTCTTCTAACAATGTCTTGGAATCCAAGCTGGGCAGTATTTCATGTTTTTAATGCCAAAAGAGTTGTGGCCTGTCAAAATGTTTTATGACAGCTTGACTAAGGAACCATCAGAGACCCATTTTGACATGCAGAAGGCTACCTCCAATCTAGCTTCCTTATCAAAAACAAACACATGAAAGAAAGAAAAAATGAAAAGAAAGAAGATGGCTCTTTCTCCAACTGCCTGACAATCTAGGAGGTTAACCTATTGTTTTCTTCCCTTCTCTCTTTTTCTCTTTCCCCCCTCTTCCCTGTACTCCTTCTTCTCTCTTTTCTCTTTCTATCCCCTCTCTCTTTTCTTCTTGTGTTGTTTTTTTTTTCATGTTCAGCTTTAGTAACAAATGAACATCTGTCAGTTTTATAAACTGCAACAATAATTGTTTAAGACAATCAATTTTGGATAAACAATCAACAACAGCAGAATAAATCAAGATTTTTAAATCCCATTTTCCTTTATATATTCTGCTTTGTTTTGTTTGTTAATGTTTATTTTTAAAATATAATTTTACTTTAATGTGATGACATAAGCACAGTTAGGTTGCAGTGTAATATATAAGGAAATATATTGTTCTCCAAGTAGTAAGATTTAATGAAAAGATTGTTTGGTGGCTTTGTTAAAAAACAATAAAGATTTTTTAAGGATATAGTGTAATTTTCTTCATTGCATTAATATAACCAAATATATGCCTATCTCTCTTATCTTTGTCTTTAACCAAATGAATAGAGTTGGAATACATTATTGTAAATGAATTTGATATAAAGTTGACTTAGCATTTTCTGTTACCTGCATGCTTCTGGGTGCATTTGAACACTTTAACTTTTAAGATGATTCTATGTTGTTTGAATTTTGACTACCTTTTGTAAGGCGTATTGGCTACCTCTTCATAGCAGTTAAGATCTTCCAAAGCCTTATAATTGAAAGTTCATATAAACCATTCTTCTTTCAAATTGCTGTCATACTTGGTTAACAGATCCCAGGAATATTGTAAATTTTCTAACTTTATTCTGCACTTTGTATATTTGGCCTCTATTGCCCTTCAAGGTGAAGATGAAACTATGTCTATAGTATATTTCTCTTTGATTTTGTGATAGCAGTCCCTCACATCTTGTGTTAATTTTATGTACATGTCAACAGTGGTTGGTCTTTAAAAATAAATCAAAAGAATAAGTAAGATGTCTAAATGTTTTTAATATTGCTGTCAGTGTAGTAGTCTACCTGTAAATGAAATGTCTTCTTCTCCCAGTGTATTAATATGATTGATTGACTGACTGATAGACTTACAAATGTGTTTCCAAGTCCATTCCAACCTCAATATGGCTTGAGCTATGCCATGATAGTACTGAATTTAATTAAACCTCCAGTCTGATAGGCATGTCAGAAATTTGGTGGATGTCTTTTGTTGATTTACTGGAAAAGCAATTCAGTTAGTAACCTATGAGCTGGATCCTATGTTACCTATAGAAGCTTGCAGATAATATCTATACGCCAGCAGACTGAAGTAGTCTGTTAAAACTGCTGTGAATCAGGTGATGTGGAAGCAAGTTCACTGTTCCAAGGAGCACTCTGCATAATGAAATTCCTGGGCTGACTGCACAATAAGTGCTTTACTTCATCACAGTCATGCTTTCTTACATCATTACAGTTAAATTTCCAGGCACCAAAACCTACATTGACCCTGAAACCTATGAGGACCCAAATAGAGCTGTCCATCAATTCGCCAAGGAGCTAGATGCCTCCTGTATTAAAATTGAACGTGTGATTGGTGCAGGTAAGGCTATTGTAGCTTCCTTTATCAGCTATTCCATTTACCAAGATCAAAAGTCATATATCATAATGACAGGCAAATAATTATACCCTCAAGTTTAGAACTTTTGCGTTTATCTGAACTATTGACAGCAATGAGGCTATACTTGTTTATGAAATCTTAAGAAAAAAAATTAAAAGGAAGTTTTTGGCACATAGAATCTATATATGTTTGATTTTCATTTTAAAGATACTATTGTAAGTTATTTCATCATAGCTTCTGCTTGTTATTCAAGAAGTGACTTAGTATTTTTAAAATGTCTGAGTTTCCTGGATTTTGTGAAATATATGTATTTCTACTCACATGATTTAATATCTTCTTGAAAGCTTTAGTTTTTATCTTTTATTTATATTATTAGGTATTAGTCATTACAGTATTTAAGTTAATATAGAAAATTAATGTGTGTGAATTATTTTAATGAAAATTTACTTTCTAGGTACTTTCTTAATAATTATATATTTTTGGATCCAATTATCTTAAAATCTACCAGGTATAATAGATAAAAATTACAGACTTTTAAATTTTAATGAATAATTTTCTTCTCAAGTTTTAAAAGAAGTAACAATGTTCAGAATTTACTAATGTGTCCTTATGCAATCTTTTTTTTTCTTTTATTATTCATACGTGCATACAAGGCTTGGTTCATTTCTCCCCCTGCCCCCACCCCCCTCCCTTACCACCCACTCCACCCCCTCCCTCTCCCCACTACCCCCTCAATACCCAGCAGAAACTATGTTGCCCTTATTTCTAATTTTGTTGTAGAGAGAGTATAAGCAATAACAGGAAGGGACAAGGGTTTTTGCTGGTTGAGATAAGGATAGCTATACAGGGCATTGACTCACATTAATTTCCTGTGCGTGGGTGTTACCTTCTAGGTTAATTCTTTTTGATCTAACTTTTTCTCTAGTACCTGTTCCCCTTTTCCTATTGGCCTCAGTTGCATTTAAGGTATCTGCTTTAGTTTCTCTGCGTTAAGGGCAACAAATGCTAGCTAATTTTTTAGGTGTCTTACCTATCCTCACCCCTCCCTTGTGTGCTCTCGCTTTTATCGTGTGCTCATAGTCTAATCCCATTGTTGTGTTTGCCCTTGATTATGCGATCTTAGGTAGTATATACAGTTGTACAGTGTGCATCATATCTAAATATTAATTCCAAAAGAGTGATTGCTAATCAATTGAAAAGTTATAGCCTTGGTAACAGAGTTTAGAAAAACTTAATTTCTATCAGTGAGCTAAAATGTATCTTGAATTTTAATTTTTTTTGCCATTCTTTTCATAAACTACTTCAATCTGTCTGAGAAACAGACTCACCCATCATCTATGGCAATGCATTCATTTTAACTTGAAGAAAATACTTTTTAAAAAGTGTATATAAAGAATTTAATTCATTTTCTTTAAGAAAGGACATATTTTGGAAATTAAAGTACACCTGCTTGTTCTATTACTTCAGGAGAATTTGGAGAAGTCTGTAGTGGCCGTTTGAAACTTCCAGGGAAAAGAGACGTTGCAGTAGCCATAAAAACCCTGAAAGTTGGTTACACGGAAAAACAAAGGAGAGACTTTTTATGCGAAGCAAGCATCATGGGGCAGTTTGACCACCCAAATGTTGTTCATTTGGAAGGGGTTGTTACGAGAGGTAGATATCAGTTATTTCATTTATTCATTGAATGGGCTGTCATAAATTGGTGTTACTGTGTACGTAACAAAAAATCAAGTTGCGAACATTATGTATGAATCAGCTGTGAATATTGCTTATTCTAAATGACTGGGTTTTTTTTTGTTTATATGTAACTAATAAAAAACAGTTCTTTTATACTACCTCTTTGGAAAAAAAATCAGGGATAATGAGTACAGGATTAGAGTTGAAGCAGAAATGTAACAGATGGAACCACTAATAAATATTTTTATTTAGCTTCAAAATCTGTAAAAGTAATACAATTCAGTCTTTTCTATATAAAATATCATTTTATTTGAATTTTGTTAACAAGAAGACATTGGCATGTTTTGGTTTAATTTTATTAAACCAAAATTTAACAAATTTGGTTTAATAAAATGTATGAAATTTGGCTTAATAAAATTTAATAAAAATATGAAATGTGCTTGTGGAACATAGTCACGATTCCATAAGCACATTTCAAACTTTTTAGCTTAGCAGCAACAAAAACATTAGAAACACTCATCTCTTACCTATTCAGCCTCTCATGAGAGCACCATGTATTTTATTGTGGATACAAGAAAGAATACCTTTGTAGTTTAAGTTACAACTTCTGAAATAATATTATCCTTTTTACATTTTAGGGAAACCAGTTATGATTGTAATAGAATTCATGGAAAATGGTGCCCTTGATGCATTTCTCAGGGTAAGTACCAAAGTTATCCTTCCATTCCAAACATACTATGTATCTGCCAATATAATTTTATAAACATGTTTTACATTGTAAAACATGAACATGATAAGCTATAAGAGGTCAGAAATTTATCTCTAAAAGCCAGATTAATAATCAGACTTGTAGACTAGGTTAAGCTAGAATATTTTGAGCGTTTATTATGTGATTAAGAATCATTCCTTGTGGGTGGTAGGGGAGGGGGTGGGGGGAGGGGGGAGAAATGAACCAAGCCTTGTATGCACATATGAATAATAAAAGAAAAATGAAAAAAAAAAATCATTCCTTGAAGTTTGGAGGATACCTGAAACCTTGTAATTTGAATGTATATCACAGAGCATCATATAATTTTTAAATTAATTGTGTGTAGCTTTTTTGTAAATGATATATTTTGAATGTGTAAAGAAATAAATTTTTATTCTCCAAGACTTTTTACATGTTAACATTTTTTCCAAATGGCTAAGAGAAAATAACTAAAGAATAAAGTGTCATGGAATGCTTATTTTATATCACCTAGAATGACACATTCAACCCAAATTTGTAAGCAATCATGGGATTTACAGAAACTTTAATTATTGTAACATTGAGATGTACATAACGCTCAGTTTGCCGGAACATCACCCAGCTAGTTCATCAGCTAAGCCAATGTTCTCTGTGCTTTGTGTTTGTATTATGTTGTAGAAATCTACAGATTAAAAATAACTTAGACTCAGGAAGCTGAGACAGGGAGATTGTGGCTCTGAGGCCAGCCTGGACTAGATAGCAAGACTCTCTCAAAAAAAAAAGTAAAAAATTTAGAAATAATTGGTGACCAGTCTGGTTGCAAACACTCTTTAGTCACATTTGCTGGTATATCTACATTAGAGAATCATTGCTGCAAGTAATGATTCTCTCAGACATGAAACAGAAAGAAAAGAAATGAAAACAAACCAACCACTGTCAATCATTTTTTATTTCTGAATTTTTCCTTTTTCAATCAAATATTTTCCTTTTCCTTTTTTAAGAAAAACACTTTAATATATGTGTATTTATTATTTTACATGTTCTTAGATTATTTATAAAATTTCTTGGCACGTGGGGAACACTGAACTGTCAGAGGTAGTATTTTTGATTATTCTACTTCCTAAATTGACTGAAAAATCACCGTTCACAATTGGACTTGTGTAATCTCAAACTATTATTAGTTAATATTAAAGCAACAAATTAATATAAGTAACTAAATGATTACCACCCTGGCTCTTACTTTTGCATGTGCTATGTTTTCCCACAGTTATCTATGTTGTATAGAAAAGTAATTTTCTATATATGTCTTACGATACAAACATAAAAGACAAGTGTGAAGACACTTTGATGGTGTTTTTTGTCTTATTTAATGTGCACTTAACTGGACTTTTATTTTGTCATCCTGCAGAAACACGATGGGCAATTTACAGTCATTCAATTAGTAGGAATGCTGAGAGGAATTGCTGCTGGAATGAGATACTTGGCTGACATGGGATATGTTCACAGAGACCTTGCAGCTCGTAATATTCTCGTTAACAGTAATCTTGTTTGTAAAGTGTCAGATTTTGGCCTGTCCCGGGTTATAGAGGATGATCCAGAAGCTGTCTACACCACTACTGTGAGAAAAAGTCTATTACTTACCTCTTCATATTCCTAAAATTTTCCAATCAAGAAAGTAGGGCTTAATGAGAAACTTAACAGCAGAAAAGAAGCAAATTGACCTAAGCCTTTTTTGAAAAGTCATTGTTGTTATTATATCTATATCTAAGCTAAAAGAGAAGTAATAAGAGTGGTATTGCTTACCTTATACTGGGACATCCTATAATTATTTTACAGTTAATACAACAACATCTAGTTGCTAACTAATAATTATAGCAAAAAATATGACCATATTTGAAGTAAAGATTCTAAAACTGTTTGCTCTGCCAGCTCATAACTTACGTGATATTGGAACATAGAAAAATATTTCAACATTTGTTTAAATATCCCATATTTCTCTCCATTTTGCTAGTAACTTGGCTTAATTTGCCATTGACTATTCTTCAGACACTTGATCTGAGACTATACAAGTCCCATTAAACAGTTGCTTTAAAAATGAAAACTTGTAATGAGAATCTAATAAAGAGGTTAGCAACTTTAAATATACTGAAGATTCATGATGAATCTACCCATGTTGCTGAGCTGCTAACCAGGGTAGAAACATTTTAACAGTAGCTTATGTCATGGCCATAAATGATGTATAAGCTATTACACATATTTAAAATACTACCTTCTTTTTATCACAGGGTGGAAAAATTCCAGTAAGGTGGACTGCACCTGAAGCCATCCAATACCGGAAATTCACATCAGCCAGTGATGTGTGGAGCTATGGAATAGTCATGTGGGAAGTTATGTCTTATGGAGAAAGACCTTATTGGGACATGTCAAATCAAGATGTAGGTGCTACACTATGTTCAAAAAGGGAATTAACACATTACTTTCATTATTATTGGAACATATCATTTAATGGCTCACTAGAAATAACTTTTATAGAATTATAATTTTTTTAGTTTTCCATAATTTTTATCACAAATTACCACAATAATTTCCATAATCTGCTTCTTATCTTAATTTTATTTTGATTTTCATTTTGAAGAATTACTTTGTATTTTTCGGTTTAAATTCTGTGGTCATAAAAAGAGACTATAAAGAATAATACCTCTTAATAAAGATAATGATACTTTGCTTGCAGCATTGTGGGAGAGCCACAAAAGTAAAAGAATTGTTTCAGGAGAGTATAAAGAGAAAGTGTGTTTCATTTTGCCTTTTAAACAGATATGCTGTAAAAAAAAATCTGTTGAATTAAATTTTAATTTTATGCTTCAATCTAGATTTTATAATCAGTATTGGTAAGTGTTTCATATTGATTTTCAGACCGTAACCACAATTTGAGTAGTCTTGGAAATTTAAAAAACTAATACTCATTGAAAGTGGGTAACATGCTGCCATGATAGCATACTAAAGAAGCAGTTATTCTCTGAAAAAATCTGACAATCCATGAGGGTATACATTTATACAATAATGCACCCTAGGTAAAAATAAATTTGCCATTTTTGGGCACTTAAATATTGGCAGATGTTTATAGTACAACCTATTGAAAATGTGAGTGAAATTTAGATAAACGTAGAACAATTATAATTCTAAGGTACATTGGATTAAACTAGAAATCTGAAGGGTGCAGTCAATAGCTGATGAGAAATTATCCAGAGAATACTTTAACAGTCCAGAAGCAAATAGAAATGCATGGGTACCAACCAAATGGACTCACTTTCCTATAACAGAGATGTGGCTCATTGACTGTGATTAGAAAGGAAGATTACATCGGGGCAATGTAATGAAAAGCTTCCTTTTGAAGGCGTTTAGAAATGATACACATGCAAATTCTTGAAGAGTGAAGTAAGAAATATCTCATGTTTAAGAAATGCTTGCATTGCACCTAGAAAAAGAATGTGACTAGCAAACTCGCTTGGAGTTATGTACTCTTAAGGCATTATAAACATGAACAGCAAAAGAAACTGACTGCAGGTGAAATTGGGTTATTTTTCAGAAAGAGAACCTGAAAATGATATATCAAACTGATGTCTTTGTGTGCACTTTTAGAATTACTCATATCAAGTTCACATGGCTTTTAAAACCTATAGTTATTATTAGACAACTATTGTAGGACTACCCATATGTTTGTGGTAAGGTTATTTTTATTCTCCAAATTTTTGCACTAACTGAAAAGTTCATGCCAAAGAAGAGAAGGTTTTTAATCAGTTAAAGATTTTGGTATTTTGAATTGAGCGATGACATGAAACTTCTTCATTTGTTTTTTCATTGTTTTGCTTTATTTTTGTTGTTTCAAAGATGAAAGTCTAAATGATGCATACGTTTGACACAGGCAAAGTTGTTAATATTTGACAGGTCTCAGTGTCAAAGATTTCATTGCCTGTCAAAATGTGGGCAAACAAATCCTTGGGGCACAGAAAGAGAAATATTTACATTCCCCAGATACTTTCCGACACCTTCCTTCTATACTAGATTCAAACATAAAAGGATTGACAGGAAAATACAAGATGACTGAAATTCAAAGTTCACTTAATTTCCAAAGGAAATAATTGAAATGGTTAAGAAGGAAAATAAGTATCTCTAGTTTTCATTTTTAAAATGACCTAAGTATGTCTTTTATTTTTCTTGGAAATGAAAATATAGAATCATAAGTGATTGATAAAATGCTTTAATTGATCAAATGAAATTAGTATGTCTCGACTGAAGCTCAGTTCTAACTTCAATGTTAAACACCATCCTTTTATTTTTTTTTCATCTTGAGGGTCTTAATTAAATTTGGACACAGGTTTGTATAATAGTAGATTATCTACATAGTTAAGATATATAGTGAAACTGATTATTAATATCCCTGTTATTGAACAATATTCATTACCCTATAATTTGGTTGTTAAAGTACTATTTTGTAATTATGTGATTAATTTTCAACGTGCAAATGGAGAAAACCAGATAGTTCAAAATAATTGGGGAATAAAATTTTCTAGAGAAAAACCTTTTCACTTGGAGTCTCTGGCAGGAATTCAAGGGACTGAAGAGATCTGTGGACCCGGGATACATATGAGAGCTTATGTGTATATGTGAAGATACTGTATTTTGGGGGGAAGATTCCTTTAATCAGATATATACAGCACATACTTGTGTGTGTGTTGCTGGAGATTTAACCCAGGGTCTCATGAATATTAGGCAAATACTCTACCTCTGAGCTACACCCTTTGCCCTCTAGGTGAATGTATTAAGAGAGCCAATTCTCTTTGCCTTGCTTAAATTTAGTACCTAGTCGTTTTCCAGTGATTTTTAGAAAGCCCTCAAATTTCAAATATCTTGGATTTTTAAAAGACTTTTAATAAAGCACTATAAAATCAAGACGTAAATTGCTACTTATTTCTCTAAGCAGGTACACAAAAATTCCAGTGTGAAGACTGGATATGATGAGGTTCCTGTAATTACAATGAGAAAAAGTAGGAAAGGGAGGTGTAGAATTTAACTAGCCTGATTTTTGTCAGTAAACTTTAGCTCCACTCTGGACAGAAAATAAAGAAGAAATGTTTGGGAAAGGATGCTATGAACATGCATGACCAGACCAATACCCAAATACATGATCACTTCATTAACATTTAAATGAACACTTGTTTTATTTTTCATGTGTCAGTTAGCTTTATTGTGTTTTTATTGCAAAGGAAGCAGTTTAATCTAGATAATTGTTAATAAAATTAAGAGATTAATTTGCAACTTTCATTCTTCAGAAATTTCTGCAGATATTTAGTCCCTTTTTTTAATGGCCTTTCACAGAAAAATCTTCATGTGTGGTCAAACATAATAAAAGTTGCAGAAATTAAAATTCTCCTGTGGCTTTCACAGCAGCAATTTTTTAATTAGATTTATATCTGATGAGCCCAAATAAAGTACTTACTTTCAAGTTAGGAAATTTTGATATTATGTAATTTTTTCTGTTTATACTACTCAGTTATTCTTTCTTATTTTAAGCAAGACTAATAAATTGTTAATTTTGCTACTAGGGTAAGCAGAAGGATGGTAAGAGAAAATAAAGCTTCCACAAAGATATAGAACATAAAGATAATCCTTAAAGCCGTCCATTAAAATTCATTTAAGAGCTTTGAAAATATAATATACTTCTATCTAAATTTGTTCTCAGCTATATTTTGACTCCTAAATTTGTCCTTTTAAAACTCACCACTGGTTTATGACTTTGTAGTTTTTCCCATTAAGATGGAAACAAAATTGTGATTTTTTTTCTTTTTTGAAACCTCAACATAATCCCATAAGTGGAGTTAAGCATATTTAATTGCATAAAATGTAGGTCATGTTATTGTGAGGTTAATGAAATGAAAATGAGCATTGAGCAGAAGACAGAGCCAATCATGTTATATCCCATTTAGAGTTATTACAGACCCATTATCATGGGGTCTTTCTGTGCTCCTTTTTCTCTTAATTACAGTAGTCCTACTGTAATAATATGGAAACACTTCTTAGCACATAACTTTTGTTTTTATTTCTAAGCATTTTTGACAGTATAAGCTGAAGAAATGTCCTCTGTTATTTCCCAGAAGTCTTTTTAGGAAATGTCATTTACCTTTATCACTTCTTATTGTTCTGGTAACTTTTCTGGATGTAGAAACACTTATAAGGTTTTTCTTTGAACTTTATTTGAAGAGTAAGGATAACTCAGGGCAGGCAAATCCAACAGGCTTCTGGTAATTTCAGAAAAGATGTTTCCAATGAATCCATTAGCTGTTTAACCTGTGGGCTTTGTTGTTTCCAAAATATTTAATTTTTTGCAGAAAACACTTCTTTTTTTGCAGGGAGTAGAGAGTGGGGAATGGGACTGGGGTTTGAACTCAGTGATTCCAGTTTGCAAAGCAGGCTCTCTACCACTTGAGCTACACCTCCACTTTGCTGTAGTTATTTTAGAGATGAGGGTCTCATGAACTATTTGCCTGGGCTGACCTTGAACCACCATCCTCCCAATCCCAGCCTCCCATGTAGCTAGGATTACAGGCATGAGCCACGGGTGCCCAGCTCAGAACATTTTATTTTCCTAGTTGAAATATGAAGTAGTGGGTAACTCATGGCTGTAATCAAATAGCCTACATGTAATTTGTCTCCTTTTACTAGTAGCCATGTAGTATTGGTCCTTTCCTTTTTTCTATGTGCCACCGGTTATATAGAATCAATGTAATAATAATAATGCTTACCTAATAAGAGTTTTGTAAAGCATCAAATGTGATCATTAGAGCCAAAGTCCTATCAATCATGTAAGTATTCAATAAATATTTATTGCAATTGCTAATTGTGTATTTAACAAATAAGTTGTTTTTCTGATAAGCTAACTAAATAAAAACTCGAGTTCAGTTCATGGCCAAATCCTCTGTTATTGGCCAGTTTGTCATCAGAGGATATACCTTGGATTACAGCAAACTGCTCTAAAAGAGGAGTTCCCAGCAACAATTTTGAGTTTTCCTCTGGCTAGGGACCTGATTATCAATACGAAATTTACATTCCCAAATTCCACTCTCATGCTAGGACATCACTTAAAGATTTATATTCTCCAACCACTCCTGTAAAAGTTTGTAACCCAGTATATCTTTGAACATATCTAAAAATTTTGTTTTGCATTGAGATCAATATTTTTTACTGCTACAACAATAGGCTTCATCAAATTTCTCTAATGCAGTTGGATGCCTACAAAAATTTCTATGTTACCTCTTTCATTCCTCTAATTCTTTTAATGGTACTACACTTTGTTCATTAGCACAAAGATTTAAGACTATACTAGACTCAAACTCAAGCATCCTAAATGCTGTCATAAAACCTTGAAGCCCTGATAAAGAGTATTATGTCAGAACCATGAAAAGATTTAGTTTTAGATTTTGAAAGATTATTTGTAGGGAAGGTAAAAAAAGAAGTGATCATTTTACCAGCATTGTTCCTTTCAGGATACTTGAGGAAGCTACAAGCAGGGAAGTAGATTAGAGGTGGTACAATATAGTGAAAAATGATTAATGTTGTGAGTATTAGAATGAAACTTTGTCAAATCAGAAAGATACTATATGTGTTCAAATTGAAGCAGCCTCATCTATAAGGAAAGTCACTTATTTTTCAATGGGAAAAAATGCCTCCTTGGTTGTTTATTATGTGGTTATTTTGAAAGCACAATGTTTTGGAAGTTATGAGTTTATTTAGTCACAATATAAACTACTCTTTAAATCATTTAACTTAGGTTTCCAAAAGTACCTGGTATTTACTTTTATCTAAATTATCTAACATTCAGCAACTTTGAATCTAATACAGAGTTGTTACTAGAATGTTAGACAAAATCCTATAAAATCTTCTGTTTTAAAAACAATTTTAAAAATATAATTCATCCTCTACTTATATACTTGTGATTTTTCCAGAGTTACCATTTGTGCGTGTTTGCTTCTAGGATATGGGATATTTTAGAGGAATGTTTTCAGTGATACCAACATTTGTAATCATAGAATTATGAACAAGGAAAACATTTTAATTCTGTATATGACCTCCATTAACACTCAGTATTATGACCAGTTAGGTAAGGTCACATAAAGCTAAGGTAGTAATTTCTTTCAGTATTATTCTTAAATTAAAGTACTTAAAGAAACACCCCACATTACGAGACTTTGTAAAGTCTTAACTAAGGGACACTAATTTTATCACACATAAGGAAAAGAAAAAATATTGCCTAGCATTTATTATATGTTATAGTTAGGACTTAGAATCTTCAGAAAGTGGTAGTTAATTGGCTATCCATATAAGAGAAAAAAAGAATGTAGGACTTTCTCAACTTTCGTCTGGGAAAACTAGAAGAGCCGCTAATTGAAACTGGAAAAGGTTGAAGGGAAGGTGATAGGTTTAATTTTAAATTTATAGATTGTGAAATATCATTGAATGATCCAAGTGAAAATGTCTAGTAAACCCATAGGGAAACAAACTAGTACCATGAGAAAATTTGTGCTAACATTTTATACTTTCAGTACTTTTCAAAACTTATTGTAATTACGTCTATCTGTTTACCTTTGGACCTTATCAATTCACTCATACATATATTTGTTAATTTAAATTTTAAAAGAGTACTCTTACTTTTTTCTTATATATAGATTTTCTCCAAAAGTTGTTAATGCCAGTTGTGTTATTAATTATATCCCACATTTTTTTACATTTTAATGTGTTATTCTTTAATGTCAACATGCATTTTGTGGATGTTTCTCCCAGCTCTTTAGCATTTATTAAAACCACCTTTTGGTCTGCCAACCTTTAGCATCATTATCTTCAAAAACTCGATGTTACGCTTGATTTCTGTCTGCTACTGTGAGCTAACTGAACTTGGAGTTAGGAAGGAAGGCGATCACCTCTCATAAACCAATTCAAACTACGTACTCCATTGTATCTAATAATCTTGGACAGCAAGTCTCATATTGTTTAAAAGAATAGTGTGCTTGGCGATGCGTTCTGTCACGGTACATCACATATTTTCATACCTTGTTTAAAGGTGTTGTTTGCACTCATCAACAAGGGGGTCTTTTTTAGCTTGCTCTGAATAACTCAATCTCCTTCTCTACTTGCAATTATATTTTAATTTATGGGTACGTGTGTACACTTACAAGTATATTCAAGTGAAAGAGATCTGTTACCTGTTACCTTTTGAAAACCTCTGGGATGGTATTACAAATATTTCCATCTCTTATGCCCTTGGTGAACTTATTGATGTTCCCCATTGCTGAGTTAGCTAGGAAATGTCATCATATCCTGCATTTCATGAACCCTGTAATAACATGCTTAATATTCATGGATGTTTGGGAAAAAAGCAAGTAAGTCTTCAGCATAAGCAAAGCTTCACTCTTATCTGGATAAGTCATTTTGCCTACCAAGCAATTCATTTTTTTGTAATTGAACCTCAGTTGGTAATGTTTTTAATATCCTCTTGGCTATTAGGTTATAAAAGCAATAGAAGAAGGTTATCGCTTACCAGCACCCATGGACTGCCCAGCTGGTCTTCACCAGCTAATGCTGGATTGCTGGCAAAAGGAGCGTGCTGAAAGGCCAAAGTTCGAACAGATTGTCGGAATTCTAGACAAAATGATTCGAAACCCAAATAGTCTGAAAACACCCCTGGGAACTTGTAGTAGGTAAGAAATTCCTAAGGGAATAGAACTGAAATGAAATTCAAATATTTTTACAAACCTTTTATTTCCTTAACCTCACCCCAATAGCAGAGTGATTTTTGTGTTCAAATACAAATCTATATTAAAGGTATTGTGTTTACAGAAGGTCTTTTTTCTTTTCAGATGGCTTACCTTTAATTAGAGTTCAAAGAGAATCCATTCATTGTTATTTTTTTGTTTTGATATTATTAGCTTTCTTTCTTAGAAAACTTTCTAAACTAGCTTTTTGTGATAAGTTGGCATTTCATATTTTCAGACCAATATTACTATTATGTGGATTTAATTAATATTACCCATTTTTCTGTATATATATTGTCTATTGTTTGCTTTGAGTTGTTTAATGGGTCGGTAAATTAAAGTTTATAAAGTAATCCAACACATTTAAGAAGTACATTTCGGACTTACAGCCATGAAAACGAGTTCCTCCATCTTAGCCCTTAGATTGTCACACATGATGCATATTAGGGTTTACTCAGCTTCCCCTGCGATTCAGCTTCCAGAGCTGATGCTCTGATCTGCACAGGTGGTAAGCCCAGCCCTTGTGCAGGTGTATTATCTCCCAAGGTGCTCACAGGGCACCATCAGTATGGCAGATGCATAATAGTTCAATAGCACCCCTGTGGCCTGAACAAGTTAGGACATAGCCAAACATGTTTCCTTTACTCTTAGTTAACTTTTTAAAAGGCAAGTGAACAAATATTTACTAATTCCAAATATACTTAGCTGTACTTTTAAGAAGAATCTGGTGGTCATCCCATCTAAAATTTAAAGTCAAGAATGTGTAGTTACTGTGTAACTGTTTTAGGTTTGTATTAGAATATATGTTTATTTGTTATTGTATAGTCAATTAAAATATCTTAAGTCTGTTTCCTATACCTCTATTCTTTTATGAGCCAATACACTCTTTGGTAAAACGTATGAATATTTGTTTTTCTTTTCTTTTCTTATCTAGGCCAATAAGCCCTCTTCTGGATCAGAACACTCCTGACTTTACTACCTTTTGTTCAGTTGGAGAATGGCTACAAGCTATTAAAATGGAAAGATATAAAGATAACTTCACAGCGGCTGGTTATAACTCCCTTGAATCAGTGGCCAGGATGACTATTGAGTAAGCTTAAATTTTTAAAATTATATTTAAAAACTTATTAGGTTCAGTATACTCTTTGTATATGAGCTTACCTTTTTTGTAGTAAAGGTATACGAATCATAAATCGAAGAAACAGCATTTCTTTTCAACGTACTTACTATTTAAATAGGCCTTTGACCATACATGTTATTACCATTTTATTATGTCAGTATTATATATTCGTTTTACAGATGATGAAGCTATGTCTCAGATAATTTAACAGTCTTCTCTAAGCTAGCTCAACTAGTAAGTGACATTTAATTTGCCTACTGAACCAGTATTCTGTACACAACCCAGCGAGGCTTCCTCTGCCATTATCAAAGCACTATGAGTTTTAGGTTCCTATTCACCAGGGAAGCTTTCTCCAAAACAACTTTTAAGGTTGCTATGACCATGAACTTAAAATAACTAAATTTTCCTTTCTAACTGTATCACTGATTATATCATAGAAAATCTATTTAATACCTTTGCTTCAGTATCTCAGAAGAGAAGAAGACCAGCAATCAAATACTCTTTTTGGTATATGCCAGGAAATTACATGTACATGAATTTCAACTTTCACACACTATCTTGTACAGTTTATTTTTTTCTAACTAACACATGGGTAAGGTTGCCACGCTTACACCTAGCTCCCCAAAGTAATTGACACTTCTGAAAACTATCACAGCTATGAAATACTGTAGTACTGTACTGAAATACTGGAATACTTTAGCCGATTTTAAATACCTAAGCTTGACCCTTCTGTCTATTAGGAAAAGCAAAAGTACATCAGTAGTTAAAATTAACATATTTCAAATATAAGTTGTTAAACACAGTATTGCACTATGTTTTTAATAGTTTTTTTCTAATACCTTGTCAAATGACTGAACTGAAGTGAAGCAAGCTTGCAACTACTAATATGCTCAGAATTATCCACTTGATAATTAAACTCAGTATAAATTTTTGTGTGGTCACTGATGGTTTCCCAAATTTTCTATTAGGTTTTAGCAAATGTTTCCAGTCATTGTATATCCTACTTTTCCAACTAAAAAATTAAAATCAAATGTGATTTAAAAGTACTTTTCAAATAACATAACCTTTTAAGTTAGTAATGATTATTTAAGATTTTATTAATTTTTATATAAAATTTCAGATCAGTTGAAATAATACCATGATAAAATGAGACCTGATTTGCTAGGCTTTTACAAGGTTACTAACATGACTCACTGAAAGAATACCCAGGAACACTAAGATTTGTTAGCCTATGATAAACATGCTATCCCATTAATCAGCTGATGACAGTTTTGATCCTTATAAATTCTTTGTAAGGTACCTAATAAAAATTCATTTGTCTCTTTCAGGGATGTGATGAGTTTAGGGATCACACTGGTTGGCCATCAAAAGAAAATCATGAGCAGCATTCAGACTATGCGAGCACAAATGCTACATTTACACGGAACTGGCATCCAAGTGTGATCAGAATTGCTCCCTCAGGGAGTTTACAGACTGCGAGAGAACAGTACTGGCCTTCAGTTACACAAAGAATGCTGCTACAAGACAGTTGATATATGGGGTCCTTCCTACAGTGAAGAGAAGAGTTAAGAAGCACCTATAGACTTGAACTCCTAAGTGCCACCAGAAAATATAAAAAGGGAATTTAGGATCCACCACTGGTGGCCAGGAAAACAGCAGTGACAATAAACAAAGTACTACCTGAAAAACATCCAAACACCTTGAGCTCTCTAACCTCCTTTTTATCTTATAGACTTTTTAAAATGTACATAAAAAATTTAAGAAAGAATATATTTGTCAAATAAAATCATGATCTTATTGTTAAAATCAATGAAATATTTTCCTTAAATATGTGATTTCAGACTATTCCTTTTTAAAATCATTTGTGTTTATTCTTCATAAGGACTTTATTTTAGAAAGTTGTTTCTAGCTTTGGACCTTTTTAGTGTTAAATCTATGACACATTACTACACTGGGTACCTTTGAAAGGATCTCACATTAAAAAAATACATAGCATGATTGAATATATAACTTTGTCAAAACATTGGTATCCTCTTTGTGCCATTGTATTCTGTTTAATCAGTGCTGTTTTGATATTGTTTGCTAATTGGCAGGTAGTCCAGAAAATGCAAGTTGCCAAGAGCTCTGATATTTTTTAAAAAGAAATTTTTTTTGTAAAAATCAGACAATACACTAACTTTTCAATGAAAAAAAAAGCAATAATGATCCATAAATACTATAAGGCACTTTTAACAGATTGTTTATAGAGTGATTTTACTAGAAGAATTTAATTAAAAAACTCAAATTTTAGGTTTATGTCTATATGAAAAAAGATGAGGCACTTCATCTAAAAGATGTTGATGAAGGCAAGTGTCTGAAAGCAAGAACAATCCAGTGTTATCTAAAATTTAATCTGAGCACATCAAGATTGTTTCAGTCTTGTGACATTAAGAAATTTGGGAGAAATAGTTAACATATATTTTATATTCTTTTCTGTTCAATGCATTCCAAACACGAAAGTAAACCATTAAGTTTAATATTAGAACTCTGAAGCATAATAAAAGTTCACAATTTTCACCTTTCAAGAATAAATTTGCTGCACAGCATATCACCATCGCAATTAAAAACAAAACAAAGGTCTTTTATTTGTGAACACTGATGCAAGAAATCTGTTAAATGAAAGAACTCTTTTTACCCTAGAAGGAAGAAGTGAAGGATCTGGCTTTTCTTTTTAAAACTTTATTTATTAAATCATATTATTTGATTACTGTGTTAGAATTTCATAAGCAATAATTAAATGTGTCTTTATAGATATTTCAGGAATGTATACATATTGTGAGTAATGCTTTCGAAAGTTATGGAAATCATGATCTACCCCAGAATTGAACTGTTGTACTTCCAAAGAAAATTGGGCTGTTTATAATGGTTTTAATAGAGAAAGATCCCAGGGATCGGTCATAATTGGTCTTGTTTGATAACGTGGACCTCCACAAACAAACAAACAAATAACAGAAACAAAAATCTGTAAATGTTCCTTTGTAAAACTTGTAAATTTTATTTATACTGTCTTGTTTTGTACACACATTTCTCTGTAGTGAGCTCTGAATACATTGAAAATGCACTATATTTTTCTATTTTACTTGCAGAGCATCACAAAAGAACAGGTATTTTCAGTGCTACATAATGTGTTTTCCCACATTTAGGACCAAAGATGGCTATAGAAAAACTCAAATGGATTGCTTCCCAAACCCCTCCCCACCCTTTTTTTTTCTTTTAAATCACTGTACAGTGTTATTTGATATTTTAATTTATTTTTGATTGATTGACTAGAAAAAAATCATTTTAATTTCACTAAAATGTTTTTGTCCCTAAGGAAAAATAATCTGTAAAAATAATTTTAATTAGCATAATACAGTCACCTAGACACTTCCATTTGTAATCTTTGTAATAGACTGTAAATATATTTTTGGAACTATAACACAATGTGCTTGAGGGTTATTTTTCAGTGTCTGCAGTGTATACAAGTGTTTATACTAAGTACTGCACTTTACAATTCTAATCAGTAGCATTGGCCTTTGTGAGAATGAGTGAACGAGTTTGAGTGAGTGTTCTCAATTCCGTTTGGATTCTGGACTCACTAATGATGAAGTTCATTTCTTGTTCATAGCTTAAGGTGCTTATTTTTTCTATTAAAATTAAATTTTAAAAAGCCATTCTAGAAATAGAAGACATAGTATGGTACATGCAAACGGTGTCTTTCCTGCTTTTTTCTAGCACTAGATTTATAGTTGAGTAGTCTTTCTTGAGTAGAAGGGCAGACTAAAAGTTTTTTTGAGTTTTTTTTCAAAAATAACTTTTTCCTTCAGCAATATACCTCATCTGCCTTAAATTTTTTACAGCTCTTTACAGGGAAAGGGGAGAAGGGATGGGAAAGACACACAGCACAATAGGAAGTGTATGATTACATCACTATCTCTTGTTTGTAGTTTTTTTTCCCAGTCAACATTATGATTTTGAAGTACATGTATGTGAAAAAAATATGAAGAGAAAAAAATTAACATTGTAATGCTGATTGTAATACTCTCTTCCAGAAAGAGATGAGATGGTATAATGATAAGAATGTACAACTTGCACCTTGAAATCGTTTTTTGATAAATTAGTGCTCAGGGGAGGAAAGGTACAGAAAGAGAACGTCAAACAGAATTACATAATTATGAAAATGCAAAAGAAAATGGCCTCCTTGCTTTAATACAGCCACCTTTTATAGAACGCTGTCTTCACACTTGACCTGTGTTTTGCATTCAGTACTGAAATAAAAGTAACTTTTATTACATCTGAATCTAACATTTTCTCAGCAATTGACCTGGGCCTTGTTTACTAGAACTGGTGGTTTATGCTTGTCAGAGCACTCTTAGTTGAATCATATTGTATACTTATGTAATCTACATTAGCTAGTACTATTTAGGACTATATTTTAATTGCTCTTCTTATTCGTGTTTTTAAGACAATTAAAATGGTGTAATTCACCTCTCTTTTTTATTTAGGTAATGCTGATATTCTCCCTTTTGTTTCCTGAGTAGCCTAAAACTGCTACTCACCAATGTGCATGTTCAAATAAATTACTAATGTGTATTTTTTTGCTATATGTGGAGAAATCATGGGGAATTTGGGGCGAGATGTGCTTTTTGTTGGTTGAATTTTGTCCCTCCTTGCCTAAGAAATACTACAGGGGTCATCCTTTTTTAAGGACAAACTGCTTTTGAACAGTGTCTTCAATGTATCAAGCACAAATAACTCTTTCTTCAACACGAATCATAAGTCTCTTTTTACCAACTTAAAATAATAAACGAATCTATTAGACAATGTAAAGAAAATCCTGTCTCCAGTCATTGGTGGATTCCTTTATGTCCCCCTTACACATTCCTTACTTTCTTTCACAATATTGTGAGACGAGATTAAGTTTTATTGAAATATCTCAGTGGCCTGATCTGAATACAAATAAAAATTAATATTCCTTGCTTCCCCTAGTCCTGGTATACACTGTTTTAATTCCACACTAATTAATAGTTACTGAATAACAAGACTATCTTCAAAGAACCACACTGTTGAACATTTTAGTTAAAGCCTGCTTATGTTTGCTCCTGAAATTACTACTGCATGATACTAACAAGAATATTTGCATAAGGAGTGAAATATTTTGTCATTGGGCCTTGACAGGTATGTTGAACATCTGATTTCGTACAGAAACATGAAGAATATTTGCATTTTTGCCAGCGGATGATGAAAACAGAATCTAGAGCAAGTAGAAAAAGTAAACTTTGGTCGTGTGATTTGGTTGTTTAGAACTGACACTGACTCAGTGATCATTTTAACTTGCACCTGATACAAGGAAAGCTAAGTACTCCCTACAGCAGCAGCATTTAAGCTCCAATGAATATGCTCCAATGAGTGAAAATAATGGCAAGTGCCAGATGAGGTGCTCTCACTAGCTATTGCATTTCTAATGCTTATGCTCAAGCTAGGCTGAACTACAATTCCAAGACAATTTTGAAATCCAGGCCTGTCTCTGTCCATTCCTGATATAAGTGCTAATGAGTAGCAAGGTGGTCAGAAATTCAAAACATGAACAAGGAAGAACAAAGACACAACAAGCAACACACTTGTTCATTTCACAGAGTGATAATTATATAGCTTAGAACACTGAAGGTATCCCCTATATTATCAAATTATCTCTTAAAATACTAGACTTATAAGTGGTACAAATATATACTATCTAACCAGAATTATTATTATTATCCTCCAGAATTATGAAGGCATTATTTTAAGATATATAAGCCCAATTTATAAGTAAAAATAATATGTTAATGTTTATGGCAATCATCAATAATAACTTTTTAGCAAAGCACTTATCAGCATTTATCATTTGCTGTATATTTTTATCTTCAGTGAAAACTCAGTGTCAATTTTGAAGAAAACTGCTGAAAGGGTTCAAAGTTTCTATGTGCAAATTCATCGCCACAGATACTAACAACCAAAGGCAGTACACAGTACCTAGCAAATTTTCAAGTTTCTCTAAAAGGCACATCTTCTTGGCCTTGTGTCTGTGTCCCTACAGTGGCCCCACCTACGTGTTTATACTGGTAATAAGGCATCTTAGCATAGCTGGAAGAATATGAGCAGGAAAATAAAGTATTTCAATAAGAATTTGGTAGGTCTCATTAGAGTTAAGTGCTGTAGGGCCTTTTTTTTTTTTCAAGTTTCAGTGATTGAATATAATTAAATTTGTAATTAAACAATAAAAAATCTCTTCTAATTGACCTTGAGGTTAAAATAAATATAATTAATTGATCCAATTAAATTGGGTCTACTACACAAAGTTTAGTTGGTAGGGATAAGTAACAATAGGCTAATATTTTGTAGGTAGGTTACAATAAAAAGGATTCCTTAGGTATGAAACTGTAGCAGGAATTCCTAAATTGTATGATTTAGCAATGTAACAAGTATGTATAATTTATTGTAAATGGAGCAAACAAATTTCCATCGCACACAACTTGCACTTATATTTCATTATTCCAAATTTACCAGGATTCTTCTTGTACTAAAGATTGTTTTTGCTCTCTTTTTGAAATTCACAATAATAATTAGGTGTCTTTATAGAGTTCACATATAACAAAAATAAGTGCAGTATATTTTTCAAAGTGTACTTATAGACAGATGTATTATAGATCTTTCTTGAAGATGCTCATAAGAAATGGTCACATTTGTTTTAAGTAACACTGGTTCAAGTTTACTTAAGGACAAACACACTGTTCAAGTCTCATCATTTCAATACAGAACCTAAACTACAAA